GAGGTCAGCCAGTAGCCCGCCCCCGCCCTCCTGCCTGAGCCCCTTCCTGCGCTGAGTTCAGCATGACTCAGCACTGCTGTGCTGGCCACTGGCCCGGACACCCCTGCAGGACCCCAGGCACTAGCCGGGCCCTGCCTCTCCCTGGTCAGGGCACCCTGCCCGGGCTGCTCTGGTGCAGCTCCAGGTAGGTAGCGTGAGGGCCTGGCAGCCTCCCTGAGGGCACCTCCACAGGGTCCAGTCCGTCCTTTCCCCCCACAACAGGAGGCTCCGTGCTGGTCTGGGTCAGCTCCGCCTCCCAGACCCCAGCCTGGACCTGGCACAGTTGAAAAATGTACTTTGGCCGCAGACAGACGTCCCATCCGCAGGCCCCCCTGAATCCAGGGCCTCCCTTTGTGACTTAGAAGGAGCACGTGTCAGGCGAGGCAGGGACAACCTCAGAGAGACTGCTTCAGAGCCAGAGGGCACCCCAGCGTCTCTGGCTGCCCTCCAATTGGTCTCCAGGAAATGCAGCCTCAGAGAGACCCCAAAGCTCCCGTGGCGTTTCACCCCACCCCATTGCAGCTCCCAGAAAAACAGTGGGCCTCTGAGAGGGCCCCGACTCACTCTCAAGGGCTCTCCAAGACCCCCTGAAAAAAATACACCCTACGTACTAAGCTTCCAAAAGCACCCTTCTCCCCCAGTCTTGGGGTGACACCAAGGCTCTAGAACCCCTGCTCTTATCTTTGCAGCTCGCCTCTAGGGCCTAAAAACCCCCAGGAAGTTTCCAGAAAAATAGGTCTCCCACTGCAAACATTCAGGCAAAAAATAAATAAAGTAATCCCACCTTTGAGCGAACCCCAGGGCTCCCCTCCAACCCATCTTCCAGAGCGGCCCCCAAGGTTCCAGAAACAACACCTCACTGTCTTCCAAACTCCCCAGTGATCCGGGGAACCCTCAGCTCCCAAAGCAGACCCCAGTAATTTGGAGGCCCCAGCGTTCCAGAAAAGCCCATGCTCCCAGAGAACCCCAGAATCCAACCTACTTTCCTGAGGCACCCCCACAGGATCAATCTCCAGGGCTCCCAGTGTCTCCATTAATCTGCCTACTAGAGACCCCCAGAATCCCTTGACTACCCCGAATCAGGTCCCCCCCTAAGCCCCTCCCCTCCAATTCCCCATTTCACAACAACCTCGAGCAACAGGCGCGTGACTTCCCCACCTCCCAGGCGGGGTCTGGGACTCCTATCTGCTCCGGATTGGTCACTCGGGGGGCCCAGGCCCTGCCCACCGCCACCACGGATTGGTCCATTGCCCCCCCTGCCAGGGTCCCCCGGCGCTATAAAAGAAGGCACCCGGCCACATCCCCTCGCAGCGCACTCGGAGCTCCCGGATCTGTCTCTTGCTTCAACAGTGTTTGGACGGTACAGACCCAGGGACGCCCCTTCTTCCAGACTCCGGCCACTCTCCTGCCTCTCAG